TTGTTCAGCCACCATCATGGTACAGGCCCCTGGTCTCCACCTGGCCAAAATAGTTAGACTGCTTTGATTGTTTTGAAGGTTTTTGGACACCTTGGGGCTAGCTGGTCTGGATGCAAGTTTAACTAAACCACCAACCTGGTTTTCAGCAGGGTCTTCACAATTTGGCACTTCCATAACTTAGCATGGCACAAACCTATAGACCAAAACACAAAACACCTTAAAGCATAAACATAAAACATAGCTGACGTATTTCTTAGAAAAACTAAATATATTAAGCTAAATCAATGCATCAACATCTATTTGGACATTGGTTAACATTGCACTAGGTGACATCAGCAGAATGAAAAGTCATTCAGCAACAGAGGAAATTGCTACAATAAAGTTGCGATGAAACGGAAGTAGCAACAGATCTGTTCTTCCGTATTGTGACGTACATCCAAGTGAAATAAATTAGCGATAAAGAAAAAAAAAAAGTAGGCTAGGGAGTAGGGACTCTCGATCGGTTGTTCAATAGACTGTTTCCCGGAAGACCAAGTTGACATTTGAACAATGAACAACATGATGAATCCATATAATCATCAACATGCATTTGGAAAATAAATGCATTTTCATTTACAATAAAATACAACTTTTTTCTTAAGAATATTATGCACTGCTGTGCACAATAAGAGCAGGAAAATATTAAAGTAAATTGGGTCAATTTTGACTTAAAGGGGTCATATGATGCGATTTCAAGTTTTCCTTTCTCTTTTGAGTGTTACAAGCTGATTGTGCATAGATAAGATCCCTGAAGTTGCAAAGGGTGGGCATAAGGCAGGGCAGGAGGGAGCGCAGGGGGGCTCTGCCAGGTTTGTGTCGTCCTTGTAGGAGTAGATGAGTAGGTGGACTTCTTTTTTTCCAGTTGATCACATCTGGGCTGAGGTCCACATTGCTTCACTATCAAAACAGGAATCGATGTGAAGCTGTACTGCCCCCTAAAGGAGCTTCACGCAACTGCCTGGGATCACCAACTGGCAAGCACTGTATTAAAATACATATATATTTCTCCACGCAAACTTTACGCCTCCAGATGAAGCTATCTTGAACTTGAACTTTCACTGCAAACATATCCATTTATAGCGGATGAAAAAAATATGAATGCACAGTTGGAGTATATGTTGAACCGATTTCGTCTAACAGGTCATTCCATCACCAAGCAGTGGAACGAGCGCTTCAATTGGGTCTAAATGAGAACAGCCGCATTGTTTGTTGTTTTTGGGCACAAGTGCGCTTACTCACAATGTGTCATGAGTCACTGAGCTTCTGCTGGTATAAACAACAGCCGCACAACAGCAAAACTATTTATCAGTGACAAACGCGATGGCACATTATCAAAAGCCGAGGCGTAACGCAGACTGCGTCCACCTCATTAAACGAACCCTCCCACAACGCGTTAAGCTATCATACGATATTAGAATGCTGTCTTTAATCCCAAATCACTTTACACACACACACACATATGAAGAGTTTGGTTCCAAAACACTATAAATCCATTTTGATTAATTTGAGTAAAAATGTGTTTTCTTTACCAAGAAAGTGGCAAGATGAAATCCACTATTTTCTGTTTCAAACTTTCACATAGCATCTTTAGGTAGGAATAACATTAAAAATTCAAATCCAGATCGCATTTTGCGTAAAATTAAAAATTGACTTTTCAATACCGACCGGATGCAATAGGCGGAAACTAAATTTTTTTTAAAATGGCGTTTAGGAACCAAACTCTTCATATTATATATATTATATATATACAGTGGGTACGGAAAGTATTCAGACCCCCTTAAATTTTTCACTCTTTGATATATATCATTGTAGACTGACAAAGCCACAGACAGAATTTATTTGTGAGGAATGGAATACAGACAGCTAATCGATATGAGTGTGTGTCTTCTGCGCAGGCCATGAGTGCAAATCAATGTCGTAGAGGCGTCATCTGACAGGCAAAGTAAACCTGCTCTAAAGCACAGTTAGTGACCTGGTTTGCACCAACATTTTAGAAGACCCACATAATGCTGGAACTTCATGTGAAAACATGAACGCTCCATTCACAACAAAAATTGATCGTTTTAAGCACAAGACTTTTTGAGAGATCTCTAGATCAAGGGATTGGATCAGTTTCTAACGTTTAACAAGATAGTTTACCCAATAATGAAAATCCTGTCATAATTTATTGACCTTCATGTCGTTCCAAATCTGTATGACTTTTTCTGCTTTCTACAAAATACCTTTTGTGTTGCACAAAGACAGTCATACAGGTTTGGAATGATACCAGGGTGAGTACCTAAATGATGACAGTTTTCATTTTTGGGTGAACTACCCCTTCAAGTCAGCCTGAAATACTGTTCTACTATTTTATTTCTGTAATGTGATGCATTACAAAGGGAAATAGGACTTAATTTTATCCTGAGGCATCATGCACTTTTTTTTTTTTTTTTTTTTAAGGGGTCAGCACTGGCTCTCCTATAGTTCACCTGGTGCTGTAGGCAAGATAAGACGTGATCAGAGGAAAAAATGCTTTGATAACTTGGTTGTTCTCCGTATTAGTCTATGACGGGATTGTGTAATGGTATTAGACAGCAGATTTAAACATGCAAATGTGTGATTCACATGTGTAAATTACAATCAATGTGCAACAATCTTAAAGATGATTTTTTTTGGAAGCTGCATTTAACATTCTTACATTTTTAGAGGTAAGCATTTTTCTGAATTTATCCATTGGGAATTGATTGAATCATGAAAAGTAGTCTCAAATGTACAGAGCCCCTACAGGGACATATTGATGTAAAAGATGGGAGGATTATATTAAATTATATTTCATTGCATTTGCATTCTCTCCCAAATGCCTTGCATTCCCCTGAGGCACTTTGTGTATGCTAGCAAATAACTTTTTTGTGAAGTTTCTCTGTGGAACACAACCTCTTTGGGAGACAACACAGAAGCACTGACATTTTTTTTTCTCCCATCTCATTTTTCCATCACCATGTACCTTTTAGGGGCTTCATACAAATGATAGGTAGTCGAAACAAAGAAAAAAGAAGCGCGGGTGACGTCAGCTAAAAATAAAAGTTGCTTTAGAGGAGAAGCAAGTAATTATATCTTGACGACATTATAAAGAAGACAAACCATTTTTAGGGGCTTCATTCTTCAGTCGTGCCCTAATGGTTAGAGTCAGACTTGTAACCCAAAGGTTGCAGGTTCAAGTCTCGTTACCGACAGGGATTGTAGGAGTGAATGAACAACGCTCTCTTCCACCTTCAATACCACAACTGAGGTGAGATCCCCAACTGCTCGCCGGGCGCCGCAGCAAAAAATGGCTGTCCACTGCTCTGGGTGGGTGGGTGTGTGTGTG